AAATCAAAAGGCAAAGAAACTGCAAACATGGTCATAACATCACCACAACACGACTCCACCTCTAGCTCATCACCAAAAAGGCTATCCCCAGGTTTCCTTGTGTCCATATCATGTCTCATGGCTCTTTGTGCCAAGCATGCAAGCCGTGTCTCAAGCAAGCTCAAAACAGCCAACAAGCCAACCTACAAGAACAACTGCAGCACCATCAACAAGAGCCCAAGACACTCTCCAAGATTGCCACTTGCAAGGCCAAAGCAGCTCTTGACACAAATAAGCAACAAGGCCATCACGTTGATGCATCGCCGGAGAAAGGATGATCAGGAAAACGCCGATGTTCTTCTGGGTCCTGATGAGTTTGGTGATGGTGGTGTCTGGCAAAAGGCTATCTTGATGGGTGATAAGTGTCAGCCATTGGATTTCTCAGGGGTAATTTATTATGATAGTAGTGGGAAGCAGCTTGACGAGGTTCCTCTAAAGTCCCCACGTGCTAGTCCCTTGCCTGCGTACTTGATTCGTGCACCAAAATAGAGGTGGTGGGTTATGTTTACGTGACCGAGCTTGAGGAGTTAGGTAGGTCACAGCTGTTTGTTATTGGACAACTATTCCTATATAGTTAGTTATACAGGGAAGACACGTTACTTTTCTTTCGTTTTTGTTTTAGACCTTGTGTTTCTTCTTGTGCTTGGGGAGAGACACTTTGTTTTTGACCTTGTGTTTCTTCTTGTGCTTGGGGAGTTCCGGTGTTGTGTGTGATGAGAACTTATTTGGGAAAGCAATGAAGGTCAGTTTGATGCTTTGCCTAGAAAGGGTCAAAGTACATAGCACCAAATAGGTATATATATCCGAGTACAAATGCTTGTTGAGATGGGAAGTTCACTTTTAGTGTTTTAAACTGAATGAAAATTTTCTGTTTGTCTTTTATTTTCTATATTGGATTAAATTATTGGGATTTTGTTTAAAATTATAGTTAATGAGGTTTTTTAGGTTAAAATTTTATTGAAATTTAATTTATAACATGAAATATTTTCATGATTTAAATAAATTATAAATAAATAAAAAATTAATTTTAAAAAATCTATAACCAATGAGAAACCTAAAATTATCTAAAAGCTTATATTCCATATAAAAAATAAACAAAATCTTCTAGTGGTTTATTTATATATTTATTTATTGAAAAGTAATATTTTTATGAAAAATAATTTTCATGAAAAGTGAATTTTTGAAAAATAAATTATTTTTCAATATTCGATAATGTCAAGAAAAATAAATTAGAAAAATATTTTTGTTTTTTATTATGTCATGAAAAATAAGTTGAAGAAGAGTAGAATTAAAAAAAATATATACTTTTATAAATTATTTAAAATAAAAAAATAACAATTAAAAAAATGAGAACCAAATTTAACAGATGAAAAATTTGAAGGAGGATGAAATTAAAAATAATATTCTTTATAAATTATTTCAAATAAAATAAATATTAATTAAAATAACATGAATTAAATTTGAAGAAAAAATAAATTGAAGAGTTGTCTTGAGAATTTAGAGAGTCAGACATATAAATTAAGGAGAGAGAGAAAACGAAAAGACTATCTATGTCAAATAAAAACATGCCACTTGTGCTGCGTAGAAAGAGAGGAGCTACCAAGAAGATTCTAACCAAGTGAAGGAACGCCGCCTTCGAACTCTACATGCAATCTTATGAATTGCCTTTTATTTTAAAATTATAATTTATATTTATCAAAATTTAAAATTATCTCTCAATCTACTTAATTATTACTAAAAAAACAATATGAGAAGATAAAAAAGTCCATGAACCATAGTTTAATAAACTTTGATTTTAAGGGTAATTTAATCATGTCAATTTACTTCTTTATTTTTTGTTAAAGATTCAAAAAATATTTTTGAAGTAAAGAGAAGGAAAACATTTTCATTTGAAAAGACTTAAGATTTTCCTTTTATGAAAACCACTTTTTATTAGCCAATTTTTCTAAAGTTAAACAAAAGTAAAAAATTTTAGAAAGTGTTTTTTATAAAACAAACAAATGTGGAAATTTAAAAATGGCTCAAAAAGCACTCATGATTTTTTTATAAAAAAAAAATTTAAGAAAAGGGTGCTTTAAGCTTAAACTTATACTTATGTGTATAGCTCGGCTTGTGCTGTGGCCTATCCTAAGTTTGAGTTTACTATAAAATAATTTTTTTAGGCCGCAAAAGATTAATTTTTGCATTTTAAATTAGGTTCAAGTCTGGTCCATCAAGAATTATTTTTTATAGCCCATTGTCTTATCGAGTTTATAAAATAAATCTAATCAACTTCTTCAGTTTTCTCTAGAACTATTTATTCATAACCTAAACAATTTTTAAATAGTTTTTTTCTATAAAAAAAGGTTGAAAAGGAGTGTTTCAAGTTTGTTTTTATGCATTATTTTGGATAGATTTTTATTGTAGTACTAAACACTTTTCTTCACCTAATTTTTTAGCTTAACTCTTTTAGTGTGACATTTATGCTAAAAATATGGTTATAAGTTAAGCCTTCCAAGTGATAGCAATTATTATAAAATTATCAATATCGTTATAAGAATTTAAGAATTATCTTAAGCATAATAGCAAGAAAATAGGAGTTCAATGCCTTATTTTAAAGCTAAACATAAGTAAGGATACTAAGTTGTTAGAAAAAAGAATTAAATATTTTGGTATAACTTTTAAAGCCAACCTTGTAGAACAAGCGGTGAAAATCCACAATAAAGACCAAAAGATAAAAATTGTTAAAAGGAGGAACGATATTACCAAATTAATGGAAAATGCTTTATAGGCAATAAGTTAAGGCTCGTAGCCAAGGGTTGTAAAAATAAAGCTAAAAAAAGTAACTCAAAAGAAGAGAATGACTGATGAAGACAATATTAATGAGGTTTATCACCTCACCAATAAAGTTTTGAAAATAAATATGTTTATTATTATTTTCGAAGTCAACCTAATATAAAATTTTGAGTAGTGATAGGTTCAAATTAGTGCAACAAGATATGTATATATCGAGAAAATAATATTCTTTAATTATAAAAAGTGGATTTTGAATACTTGTACATCGAGAATTCATCAACTTTTAAGGTAATATATGTTGAGAAGAACAATACCTAATACTTTAGAGGTAATCAATACATGGAAACTAGTGAATCTTCGACCCGAAAGTAAATAGTTAGGCCATTAATGGATCTTAAAAAAAAAAAAGATATAAGTTTATAGAACTATTGATAAATATAAAACAAGACTTGTCATTACATGATTCAATAACACAAATTTATAAATTATTTTGACTTATATTTGCCTATATCAAGAAGAAATTTCATATAATCATTAATAGATGACACGACTAAAAGATTGATGTCTTCTCCCAAGTGCAGGAGTGTCGAAGTAATAAATAACCCGGTAAGACCGGGGTCGAACCACAGGGAGGTTAATTGTACAAATTATAAATAACAAT